TGACAGGGGGGAGCTCCCCAACCCCCTGATCGGCCCTGCTCTGTGCGTGACAGGGGGTGGCGCTGCAACCTCCCCATCGACCCTGCCTTGAGTGTGACAGGGGGCAGTGCCCCAACCCCCCAGTCGGCCCTACCCTGAGCGTGACTGAGGGTGGCATCGCAACCTCCCGATCCGCCCTGCTCTGTGCATGACGGGGCGGTGCCCCAACTCCCCAATCGGCCCTGCTCTGAGCCTGACCAGGGGCTGCACTTAGGGATTGGGCGTGCCCTCTGCCACCCGGGAGCAGGCCTAAGCCAGCAGGTCGTTATCTCCCGAGGGGTCCCAGACTGCGAGAGGGCACAGGCCGGGCTGGGGGACCCCCTTCCCCCTCGCCCCCCGAGTGCACAAATTTTTGTGCACCGGGCCTCTAGTAACATTATATTAGTTTCAGGTGTACAGCATAATGATTAGATACCTATATATATTGCAAAATGATCACCACAATAACTATAGCAAACATCCATCACAACACATAGTTATATTTTTTTTTCTTATAATGAGAACTTTTAAGATCTACTTTTAGAAGCTTTCAAGTACACAATACATATTACTAAATATAGTTACCATGCTGTACATTTCATTTCCAGGGCTTACAACTGAAATACACATGCTTTTAAATATCTCTTCTTCTAAACTGTTAGTCTCCTTAGAATGTATCCAGACAACCTTCTTAAAAACTTCGGGTAAACTATTGATCATTGCATTGGTCAGAGTTCTCTAGAGAAACAGAACCAAGGTGACACACACAAACTCTAAATTTTTTTTCTTTCTATTTCTTTTTATTATGGAGATACTTAAAATATCACTTGATATTTTGCCATTATTTTATAACTCCTTAGAGAAAAGCCTACTCTAAAATTACAGTTTTTACTGAGCTCCCCTTGGCTTTTGGATCTGTTGCCACGAAGAGGTTATGAGCCAACATATGTAAGTCCAGTATAAATACTTGAGTACTAATGTTCACAGAAAAACAACACCCTCCCTCCTATGCTGATAAGGATCTGCATGAATGAAGGGTCTTCAAAGATCAGGAATAAGCTTGGTTTGGTTGTCACATTCCGTTCGCTTCCTTCCATCCTAGTCCAAACGGATAGAAAATGTTACCTGAGTCCTGAGCAGAATCAGACTAGTCTTATGTCTGCTAGTCTGAGGGCAAGTAGGGTTAGGAATTGGCAAGTAAGTTATTAAGAATAAAAGTCAAAGTTATATAAATAAGAAGGTTTAGGATATTTAAAATCATAAAAGTAAGGAATGCAAAAAGTTAATGCAAACAAAATAAAACATTGGGAGCATTAAGGTAAGACTTTAAGACAATGAAGGAGGATTTAAGAAGAGGCTCATTGGGCAGCCTCTGCTTTTGTCCTTCCCACTCTTTGAGGCCAGACTTTGTGCTTTTTCACAAGTTCAAAGTGAATACATTCAAACTGCCCAAACAGTAGCTTGTAATGGATATTTCACTAATTATCCTGTGAGGGTCAAAGAGCAAGATTACAACACATAGCGAGGCTCACCCACTCTCACCACTTTAGAAATGCTCTTCCCTTCCCAATTCCTCACTGACCACCAGCCTTTCCTTATAGCTCCTGCCTTGCTTTACCTCTTTCAGACTCTGAAAAAAGCCTTCTCTTTTGTGTTGAGGAATTTAGCTCTGACCCTCACCCTGGACATCCCACTGGACAAAACAGAAGTCCAGCCCCTGACTGAAGATGGACTGTCGGGAGTTCCCATGCAGGCCTTGAAGGTGCCCCTGGCTCAGCTACTGATCCAAGCCGTCTTTCAGTAAAAACTCTAAGAGGAGAATTCGGCTTCTATGAAATAAAAATGCCCATAATTTTACAAAGGAAATAAATAAATAATAAAAACATGTAATAATATAAATAAAAAGTAAGACAAGTAAATAATACACAAAATGAAAGAATAGAAATAAAAACAAGACAATGTTTAAAAAGTATTTCTGGTAAGATTTCAAAAAGAAACTGCAATTAACTCTGCATTCATTATATTAAAATGTGCTAGAACATGAAGATACAGAGGTATAGGTATGAGAATAACAGAAAAAAACATCCATAACATAAGGAATCATCATAAAATAAAGCAAACATAGAAACCAAAGTGCAGTTGAAATCAGGGCAATGATGGCCACATTGACTGGGTTTTTGTAATGCTTGGAGGTGGAACAGAGCCAAGACCCTTTCATTTGTAGCTGGATTTTGTTTCTGCTTTGGTGATGGAATCATTGTTTGTTTGTTTTTTCTTCATCCTCACCAGAAGACATGCTTTTTATTGATTTTTTTTTTGTTTTTTAGAGAGAGAGAGAGAGAGAGAGAGAGAGAGACAGGGAGAGGGAGAGGAAGAGAGAGAAACATTGATGTGAGAGTGAAACATCAATTGGTTGCCTCCTGCACGCATCCCAACTGGGGATCAAACCCACGACCTTTCGGTGTTCGGGATGATGCTCCAACCAATTGAACCACACTGGCTAGGGCTCATTGGACTTTTATTTTTATTTATTTATTTTTTTATATCTTATTGATTTTTTACAGAGAGGAAGGGAGAGAGATAGAGAGTTAGAAACATCGATGAGAGAGAAACATCGATCAGCTGCCTCCTGCACATCTCCTACTGGGGATCTGCCCGCAACCCAGGTACATGCCCTTGACCGGAATCGAACCTGGGACCTTTCAGTCCGCAGGCCGACGCTCTATCCACTGAGCCAAACCGGTTTCGGCTCATTGGACTTTTATAGATACAGTTCCACAAATGATACACACCCTTTATCTGACAGTACTATTATTGGAAATAAAATGAAACAAAAACATCCTGTGTATATTTTTTCTGTTTTCTACAAAGAGAGCATAACATTTTTTAGAATAAGTCAAATGCATACATTATAGTTGTGAAAAGTGAAGCAATTCTTCCAGCAATTCTGTAAAAAAGAAATTGCTTCTCCATCAGAATATGGAATGCTATTGGCAAAACCAGTAACAGAACAAAACAAAAAAATTGAACAATATGTGGGAAAATCAGATTGTTTCAAAAATCTTTTCTCCCTTTCCCATCCAGGTTAATTTATTCCTAGAGAGTCTTGCTTTGTGTGTCTATAGCATTTATTGTTTCCCTCCCCACTTAGATACTTGGAGAAAAAACGACTTTGCTTTCCTCGCTTCTTCTTCGTCTCGGACCCGGCCCTTCTGGAGATTCTGGGGCAGGCCTCGGATGCGCACACTATACAAGCCCACCTGCTGAATGTGTTTGACAACATTAAAAGTGTCAAGTTCCATGAGAAGGTTCGCCTAACTCTAATTACTGGCCAGCAATGACCATATTTAGGATCTCTGCTGTCTTTACTAAACAGCTCTCTACTTACTGCCCTAGCCATTAACCCTCAGCCGGTGACTAAATACAAGCTTTTGAGCCCAATTTACCTGCAGAACTATGTAATTTTTTAATATCTAGAGTGTAGATTTGAATAACAAATAGTTTAACTATGATTAAGCATGTAATGTATGTAGCTTTCATGGTTTTACATGCCAAGTTAACTGTTTAGAGATTCGATTAAAGAAAGCACCAGTTGCTCATCCCAGCATGCAGTCTGCACTTGTTGAGCAACTACCACGTGCCGTGGCAGATGTGGTCTTGTCAGTGGGAGCATACAGAGCTCAGGGAATTCACGCTCTGGTGGCGTCCCCAGCGTGCAATTAGTGCAGTGGTACAGTGATGCCACTGTAAGCAGTTAAAAGCCAGTCATTGAAGTTCAAGCCCCTTGCTATGTGCCAGGCAGTTGCTAGTCCTGGGGCTTCAAGGAGAAATGCATCACAAATAGTACTGAAGTCGTTTTTATGCAGCACAACATTAAGAGAAATTTTGACATTAAAATTAAACTCTTGGTAATTTTTGACTTGCTGTGCTGGTATTATGCACAAGAAATACTTGTCAGGGAGCCCTCACCTGGGTGGAAGGGGTGTGGGAGGAGGCTTCCTGCAGGAGAAGATGGTGTTAGAACGGATTTTTTGAAGGTGAGTGGAACATAGTCAAGCAGGTAGAGAAGGGACAGACACATGGTCCAGTCATAAGGAAGGGCAAGTGGAGGTATGAGCAGGAATGTGGGTGTGTGAGGGAGTGTATTCATTTCCCAAAGCTCTCCTGGATTGGAACAACACAAGTTTATTCTCTCACAGTTCTGGAAGAACTGAGATGTTCATTCATCTCAGTTCTGAACTGAGATGCCAGTAGGCTGTGAGGAGAATCTGTCCCATGCTTCTCTCCTAGTTTCTGGTGATGGTCAGAAACCCTGGTGCTGCTTGGCTTGTAGACACATTACTTCAATCTCTGCCTTTGTCCTCACATGACATTCTCCCAGTGTGTCCGTCTCTAAATTTCCTTCTCTTTCTAAGGACACCAGTGATTGGATTAGGGCCCACCATTATCCAGGACCTCATCTTAACTTGATTATATTTCCAAATAAGGTCCCAGTCACAGGTACTGGGACTTAGGGCTTTGACATATAGTTTGGGGCTGAGAGACACAATTTAACCCACAGCCAGAAGTGATGAGTAAAGGGTGGACCAGATTCCTAAAGGCCAAGTGCATCACATATCATTCTACTCCATTGTGATTAGGGCTTTGACATATAGTTTGGGGCTGAGAGACACAGTTTAACCCACAACCAGAAGGGATGAGCAAAGGGTGGACCAGATTCCAAAAGGCCAAGTGCATCATATTATATCATTCTACTCCATTGTGGATGTGACAAGATACAAGGGAGGTTTTTATGCAGGGCAGGGCAGTGACCTGATTTGAGTTTCAGAAGGATTCTCTGGCTCATGTAGGTGATGGAATAGAGGGGAGCACGGAAACCAGTTTCGGAAGTGACTGCAAAGTCAGGATGGAAGAGGCTGAGCTGCTGCAATAAAGTCTTGACCAAGGGTGTGGACAGAGAGGAAAGGAAAACATGGAAATGGTTTTAAATCAATGTTTGTGTAAATTTACTACACTCATGGGTTGAAAGAAGGGATTGAATTACCTAGGAAGTTCTTCCTGATGTTCTGCTTAAATCCTTCAGTAAAAGCACTAGAACTTCATGGTGCTTGGTGAAGCTTTTCACACTCTCATTGTACATTGAAGATAATTTAAATTTCCTCATCTTTAGCCACTACTCATAGCAATTACTTTAAAAAAATAGCACTGATTTTTTGTTGTTGTTTCTGCCATAAGGTGTCTACAACCAGTGGCAGATTATGGTTTTGTGGGTCCTAAGTATTATAAAATTATAAATACCAATTTATATTTAGAACCTTGGAATGGGTTCATGTAAGTGAGAGGCCCTGAAATTTAAGATTCATTGGCTTCATGAATACAGTTCTAAAGCTGACATTTAGGATTCAATTCTAAATCTGAGACCACTTACTAACGAAGAAAAACAATACATATTCACATTTACTTTATAGTTTGCATTATATATATTTTTTTCCAATTGGCATGAACAGGAAGGTGGGGTAGTGAAGAAGGGAAGTAAGGAAGGCATTATTTGTAATGTCTAATTTTAGGCAAGAGATTTAGTCTCAGAGATGTGTCCTCCAACCTTGCCTGATCAGTGAATGGCAGAGCATCATTCAAATCTGTATTTTAGAACCTCAAACACCATGCTATCCTCATCATGCCATACTGCATGGAACTTGAAGTGGAATGACAAGATGAGGAGCTGGGTTTGGAGGAGAAAACATTGTCAGCAACCAAGAGCTCCTGTAAGGAGCACACTGTTTCGTACAGGATTGGAGTTACCTTGTAAGGTGTTTGCTTGATCATATTGGCCAGGTCATTGCTAATGTCAACTTGATAAGCTCGTGGTGTGGATGACAATCTCTTAGGAAGTTTCATTTCATTTGGGGAACTAGAGATTTTTTGATTGTTACATTTGTATTGAATATTTCTTTTAGAAAACAAGTTTTCCCCTCTCAAGTATAGACTATTTAGAATGGATTTAGTATTCCCTTTTAGCTTCATGGATAACTTCTTTTTTACTGTTTTGAAATTGATTTTATGTCACATTTTGACTTTTATGTTATAATCTGTAGCTTAGCTTCTGTCGGAAGGAAAACATTGACATGAGGGCAATGGAGGAATATATTCTTTATATGAATATAGCTATTTTTTTTTGGCTTCTAACATAGATCTATGATCGCATTCTGTCAATTTCCTCTCGAGAGGGTGAGACGATTGAATTGGATAAACCTGTGATGGCAGAGGGCAATGTGGAAGTTTGGCTCAATTCTCTCCTGGAGGAATCTCAGTCCTCATTACATCATGTGATTCGCCAGGCAGCTGAAAATATTCAAGAAACAAGTTTCCAACTGATTGAATTTCTTTCTTCCTTCCCTGCTCAGGTCAGTGTGTTGAAATTGGAAAGTATTTTTTCACAGAATAGTCATTTTAGAGCTCATATATTTTCTATTGTAAATGACACAACTGGCTTCTATTTAACTCTGGGCCAATATTAAGATTTTTATAAGGATTTGCTAAATATATATAAGCTTAAAGGTTTCAATTACAGATTATTTGGTTATATATGTGTACATATATACATATATATGTGTTGTAGAGATATTTGGTATATTTTGTTTAATTTTAAAGTTTTTTCCTACTGAATCTCTTTAGTACATAAATCATAAAAATGTGCTGAGTGTATGTATGCTTTACCATAAAAATGAGAAGTATATATCAGCATTAAAATGCAGAAAACAATATTTTCTTAGTCATTGTGATCAATAAAGATTTTGCAAGTATCTACTATGTATAAACTGTGTGTTAATTTGGGAAAAGCAGGTTTAAGATGCATGCTTTCCCTGCCAGTAACTTAAAATCTAGCTAGGGAGAATTATTGCTTAAACAATAAATGACTTAAAGTCATAAGAAAAAAATTATAGATACATTGTGAGGCTATACATACTTAATGGTCAGGTAAATAATATGAATAGTGTTTTCCTAGGTTCTGATAAAACATATAAAGTTGATGTAATCAAAGGTGACATATTTGTATAATCACAACTATTCACTAAACTGTAAATTCTGTTTATTTTTAAATTTTAATTCTTTAATCTTTTTTATTGAACTTATTAGGGTGACATCAATAATAATAAAAGCGTAATATGCTAATTAGACTGAACAACCTTCTGGACGATCTTCCGGATGGAGCCAGGGCTGCGAGGGAAGCCCGGGTCCCTGCCAGAGGCCCAAGGGAGGCCTGGGTCCCAGGTGCCAGGGGAAGCTGGTGCTGGCAGCCCGGGGAAGGAAGGACTACTCTTGCATGAATTTCGTGCATCGGGCCTCTAGTTGGTTAATAAAATTATTTAAGTTTCAGGTGAATAATTCTATTCATATTCCATATACACTCATGAAGTCCTTTTTATTTCCATAGGTTGGATTATTAGGAATTCAGATGATATGGACACGGGATTCAGAAGAAGCCCTTAGAAATGCCAAGTTTGATAAAAAAATCATGCAGAAAACCAATCAGTCTTTCTTGGAGCTGCTGAACACATTGATAGACCTCACAACCAAGGATCTGAGCTCCATGGAACGAGTTAAATATGAGACTTTGATCACTATTCACGTGCACCAACGGGATATCTTTGATGACCTGGTAAGTGCTCTGTGAATGCTGTGGCATATACAGAAGAGCAAATACTAGCCACTATCTGTGCTGACCCACTGGAATTATGAATTCAACGAAAAGGTTAAATTCACACAAAAACTCATCTTCACATTGAGAGCTTGTTTGTCGGGTTGTCTTTTCAGTCTTTAGCCAAAATTTCAGTCATATTCCAACAGTCGTTGCTAAGATGTTATTGAAGAAATTAGATTTTGTTTTAAAATTTGTTAGGCGATTATTTTAAATACTAGAATGCCATGTAGCATCCTGAGAAGTGTTCATTTGTCTTGTGCACTTTTTAGATATCAGTTAAGGATGACCAGTTTCTTGATACAGAATTGATAAGTAATATTGCTAGTAGAGCAGTTAGTACTTTCTTTAAGGCTTTTGGTAAATCACATCTTTAACAAGTTCTGCTACATTTTATGTCATTGACCACAAATGGTCTTTTTTAATATAGATGGTGAGATTCAGGTGTCATGCAGATTTTTGCCTTTAAAAGAGAACAGGGTGGAAAAGAGTTTAGCAGCTCTTGAAAATAGGAAATGTGAAAAGACATGAAATTTGTCCTCTACTATAAAATAGGACATTAGATAAGAAGCACAAAGCTCTTATTTTCATAATAATTTTCTGGATCGTGTCTCACTCCATTATGTAAAAAAGATTATGAAAGATTGGTTCTAATATAATGGAAATAACGACAGCACATTCAAGCTGTTGTATGTTAATCTCTTAATATTTAAGCACTCTCTTTGCCTCTCTGAGAAATAAAGGGTTCAGGGTAATTTTAGATTTCCTATTTGTCAAAGAAAAATGATTAAAGTGGCTCAAAATTTTGGCTAAAAATTTCAGACGTATTGCTGAGCAATAACCTGCCATTAGACATTTTTGCCCTCTGCCAATCCTAGGAAAAATATTTAATGGATTTAAATAAAACCAATCATGTACTTTGTCATAATTACAAGAAATGACTTTAGTTCTGTCTTTGAACACCAAAATATATTTTCATTGTATTTCATGGTTAGGACTGTGGTATTGGACATTTAAGGGTGAAATTTAAGAAATGAATATCTTACTATTAAAACATATCATACTCTTTAATTTGTGGAACACAATGAGAGGTTTCTCTTGAATTTTCCATGCCCATATATTCTAAAGTATCTTTTATTTTGCTGATCAATAGATGAGTGGGTTGGATAGTGGTTATAGTTGACATCTCTGACCTAGTTGGGTAGTTTTTGAGTTCAGTTGACTTCACATTATGATATACATGAATGCTTACGTGCGTATTTAATATATAGTTCTCATCCCAGTTTTAACCAATACCTTTTGCATTTCAGTGTCAGATGCATATCAAGAGCCCTACAGACTTTGAGTGGCTGAAACAGTGCAGATTTTATTTTAAGGAAGATTCTGACAAGATGATGATTCACATCACAGATGTGGCTTTCATATACCAGAATGAATTTTTAGGCTGCACTGACAGGCTTGTCATAACTCCACTCACAGACAGGTGATGGGAGGATTCTGTGATTCCACAACCTCTCCCCCCCACCCCCTGCATCGACAATTTGCTCAGGGGATTTCTGCTTAATGTCCTTTTATAGTTTATAAGCTCTTTTATATCAAAGACTTTGAAATTCAGTATTCTTAGCCTTACAGGTGTGTCTGAACATGGGGTTTAGGTTTGTGTTTGAGACAGACTTTGCTGCTATTGCTTTCAGTCTTGCAGAGGCATAGTTCAAATGACCTCTGTGGACATCAAAATAGGCAAGAAAGGGAATTAATGGCCATGTGTCAATAGGTGCAGATCACATGGGCCTTAAGGACTGCTTTAGGGACTGTGACATCTCTTGTGGTTACAAAGACAATTAAGATGTTTTTTTAGCAGGAAAATAATGGAGTGCCAGTGCAAGTGAAAAGCGATGGGTGGGGAGGACATTGGGCTGCACATCTGGAGTTTAGTTCTGTCCGCTGCCTGTTATTTACCAGCTGAGTCAGCTAGGTCTGCGTGCAAGTTCCCGGGACTCAGTTTCCTCATCTGTAAGATGAACCAGGCTATCTCCGAGGGTCCTTTCACAGCTAATACTCTGTCATTCACTTAGTCTCATTTAAACTGGGTGGCACCAGCCACTTGTATATGCTCTGTTCAGGGATGCACTGAATATTAATTTTGAACACAGTGGTTGTGCATAAAAATCAATATTTGGCCTAAGTAGAAGTTGAAGCTGCATATCAGCTGTTTTCACAGAATGAACCTCTGGGCTATTAGATTGCAACTATTATTAGACAAAACATAAAAGTTTGATGTAGCAGCACTGTCACCTGTTTAGACGATTTCTTCTGTTCATTTAGTTCATTCATGACACTTAAATGAAACACTTCTGCTAGCATAGAGCTTACAGCAGCCTGGTGGGGAGGCAGAAAACTCTAATGGAGCTGTGGAAGGGCACTAAATCACCATTCATGAGTGACGACATTTTTGAAAGTAGCAAAGAGACTGGAAAGGAAAGCAGGGAAAGGATAGAGCGAGCTCCACATACATGTAGGATGTTCTGGAGAGAGTGTAAACATACATATGAAGATGCTCTGAGAGATTTTTGCTTATCTCTGGAGGTCACGTCCTAGAGATTTAGTCCTGAGTATATGCTCCCAGAAATGGAGTGAAGATGTGGTCATTTAGCAGTGTGTGATTTAAATCTCATGTGACCACTGGCCCCCAACTACATCAAATGATGAACTCACATTCAAAACGGGGTTGCTCTACTTTAATGGTTCCCAATCTGTTTCCTAGAATACTATTTTTCAGGAGTGGTAGGTCTGTGAGGAAGTTGCAACATTCGTTTTGGAATTGCTGGGTACTGTTTTTCATACTTGGACACTCTCAATTATATTATCATAAGAAAGGCTGTTTAACCTTTTAAAGAGTTTTCAAACTTATTTGACCATAGACCACCCCTTTCTTTTTCCTTAATGCATGTAATACCCATAGGATGCGTGCATTTTAGAAGGCAGCTTTGGAAATGTTATATGGGGACGATGGCCTGGATCTCCTTCTTTCTTGTTTCTTGTTTCTTGTTTCTCGTTTCTCGTTTCTCCTTTCTCCTTTCTCCTTTCTCCTTTCTCCTCTTCC